TGCCACTTTTTACATATGGAAATTTATTTATTTATTTATTTGAGTAGTCCACTTGCAAACAGCTTTATGTGATTTTATAATAGTAAGCCATAAATTAAAAAAAACTTCTACAACAACAAGTAACATCCAAATTGTATATTTCTTCGTATTATCTGAAAATTTGGATAAATAAGAGCCTAATAACATTAAAAATCAAAATCGAAGTGTGGTAGTTTTTGCAAATTTTATATATAGAATTTAAGTATAGCGAGTTTTGAAACAGTAAGTTTTATAAAGCCAGCTTTTTTAAGATTTTCGCGTTCTCTCTTCCATGAAGGTTGGTCTGCTTCTTTTTTGAGACGTCTTCCACAAGGCACCGAAACCACCACGTTTTCTTGCAGTTTTCTAAGTTCATCAGAAGATGGAGACTTTCGAACTTGTATAAATACGTACAATAAATATTATAGCGACTTTTAAAAGTGTATATATACATACAGTAAGTATTATAGCGACTTTTGCTAAAGTAGCTAACATTTGATGCTATTTTTTTCAGAATATATAAGGATTTTGCACTGTATTGTTAGTGAACATGGAACTACTTTCAATACTGGTACGTTAACCACCAAAAACTAAAAATCGAAAAAAATTTACATAGCGCACTTTGCCAGCGGACTACTCATTTATTTCTTACGGCTCGTTTGAACCTAGATCATAACAATATTTAATTATAAGCTTAACCTAGTATTAAAAATGCAATACTTAAGCCTAATAGGATTATTTGTAAGGGAGTTCATTTATATATTGTTTGTTGGTTTATATTTAATTGGCCTAAATCATTATTATCTAGGCCTCTTCTAGATATAACCATAAATTTGGTTTTGCTGATGTTTAATTTGAGTTTATTTAAGCATAGCCAATTTTATATTTCATCCAGATCGTTTTGAAACAATATCATTTACATTTTCCCCACTTATCATTATTAATGTATCATCGGCAAAGAGATTGATATCGCTATACTTAATGTTTTGCGAAATATCATTAATATAAATATTAAATAAAATAGGTGCTAACACTGAACCTTGCGGTAGCCCAATCATTACTTTTCTTTCGCCTGATACCGACGATCCAATCGTTATTTTTTGCATACGATTCTTTATAAAACTTTCAAACCAATTCAGTTCGATACCCTTCATTCCTATATTGGACAACTTTCTCAATAGTAGGTCTTGATCTATTGTCTCAAAGGTACGTTTCAAATCTAAGAAAACGGCAATTATGTATTTGTTTTTGCTCAGTTCTTCTTTCCAGTGGGCAATTACCAAATTCAGGGCAGCTTCACATGAGTTCTTCTTGCGAAATGCAGACTGTTATTAGATTCGAGGTATTGTACTAATTGGTTTTTTACTACACATTCAACCAACATTCATGCCAACATATCGTGTAAAGGCAAGTTTCTGTACAAAGCACGTACATACGAAATAGAAATGTTTCTATTTTCATCTGACACCCAGGTAGACTTATCTAACTTTACTTTGGCTGAATTTCTTTATTCATTCTGAACGTTTGGAATAAACTTTTCTGTTTATTTATTCTTTAGAACGTTCCTGATGATATGTTGACGTATATTTCAAACGCATTCTGTTTATTCCGGCTGTGAAATGGGATTATCCGGAATGTATAAAGAAACGCAGCCTTTATTTCGTTTTCAAATCGGAAATTTTTTTGTCGATCGCATACCGAATGTGAGAGATGATAAATTTGTTTGCATTTTTCACTCGCTATAAAAGAATGCAAATATAATTGTGAAATATTCTTGATCGCGAACGTGAAAGAATGTGACTGAGAATTTCCGAACCCTGACTAGAAACAATTTACCACAATTTTACCAATTAAATGTTAAATATCTTCTAAACAGTATATTTTTAAAGAAAATGTTGATGTTTAAATTTAATGTTGAGTTTATAATTACCTTGTAGGGAAAACACGAACTAGTTAATCATAGTTTAATCAATATTTTATAATTTTTTTTTTCGCTCAGAGATATTCATTGTTTTTGAGTTTTATTTTTCCACTTAAAAATGATGATAGTTTATAAAATTGAAAATGCCATACAGACGCAACTTACTGAAATTTTGACCTGAAAAGTTTGGGGCTTATTCCCTTTATTAGGATGCGGCTACCTCTGAAAATGATACGTCGGAAATCACGCTGGTATAGTTTTTGAGTTTTTGAAAGATCATTATTCTTAGTGAAAAAATAAAACTCAATAATCATTATTATCTTTGAGCGAACAAACAAAAATCTTAAAATAATCATTATTATTTAGGTGACGTATTTATAACTGTATCGAACTAGATCTCATGGAGAAAGGAGAGCGGAAATATTTTTGGGCAGAACTTTTTCTGCGTAGGCGGCCTTCGGCCGCACTTAGGGATTATAACCCTTACTAAATAGATCTCTCCTTTCTGTGTTTCCGAAAAAGGGGGGGACGGAATTATTTTTGCGCAGAACTTATTTTTGCGTAGGCGGCCTTCGGCCGCGCTTAGGGATTATAACCCTTACTAAGTAGAACTCTCCTTTCTGTGTTTCCGAAAAGGGGGGGGGGAAGGAAGCATTTTTGCGCAGAACTTCTTTTTGTGTAGGTGGCCTTCGTCCGCCGGGATTACAAAATTTATTATATTTTAAGACGTCTACCAAAATATTTCCCAAAAATATTAAGATTTGAGCGAGCTGGACCGATTTGAAAAAACTTCCAAAAATTTAGTTATTTTTGAATAAAAAGAGTTTCTTAAAGAACGTTTCGAAAAAAGTCTCCTCAGATAACAAAACAGATTAGGCTTAAACAATCTGCATAAAAATATTGAAAAATCTTTTCAACGGAATCGTAATAATGAGATTTTTGATGTGTTTTTGTTACTTTTTTCAAAGATTGATTTACGAAAAACTTTAATAACTGGGCCAAAACTATTCTGATTTAGATTTATGAGATCTCGGTAGAAAGGTATATTTGCACTATTTTTATTTATGTGCAAAAAAAAGTAATTCGTGTCCCACTTTTTTTCAAATACCAACACATCTTAATTCAACTTTGAATGATGTTCGTTTATCCTACCTTTCTCTTTCATCCTTTGAGTGAGCTTATTAGCAAAGAAAATACCTTTCTAATGATACATCACAAGTCTAAATCGGAAGAGTGTAGGTTCAGTTATTCAAGTTTTTCTTATACTAATCTTTGAAAAAAGTTAAAAACAGCATCATAAATTTCATTATTACGATTCCGTTTAATTTTTTTTTATATTTTTATGTACATTTTTTAAGATTTAATCGTTTTGTCATTTGGGGTGAATTTTTCAGAAAACATCTTTACGAAACTATTTTTATTCATAAAAAAACTACATTTTTGGAGGTATTTTCAAATCAGTTCAGCTCGTTTAAATCTTAATATTATTCCGAAATACTTTGGTGGACGTCTTAAAATATAATAGATTTTATAATTCGAATGGAAAAACCGTACCGATTTTTTTGTATGGGGAGTGATGCAGTCTAATGTACATGTGTACAAATACATTTGTTTACTAAATGAAAAATTAGAACAAAGGAACTAAATGTAAATGATCCCGAAACCATAAATAGTTTCCTTCCTTTGTTCTGTTTTAAGGCCTGTATGCAGCTCTCAAGAAAAGCAAAAACTCCATATAAAATGACGTACAGGAAATGGCTAAGAAATTTTCTTGAGTCAAATTTCCTTAAGGCAGTACGCAGTTCTTAAGAAATTTACTACACTTTCTACTACGGTTTTCTAAAGTTTTTTGTGAAAAAAGAGCACAAGGCAACCCAGGTTTGCAACAGAAATATATGCCCATTCCATTATTTCTTGAGGAAAGAGTGAGGCAACAGGCTGTGAGGTATCAAAAATGTCAAAATTCCTTGGACACACACACGAAATAATGGCAATTTTTTCTTGATCGTTTTCTTGAGAGCTGCATACAGGGCATAAAGTAGGAAAAACAACTGACCTGCGCGTCAGTACTCGCATAAGTAAATAAATAGATGTAAACTTACTAAAATACAGGCAGAATAAAATTAAAGGTTTAACGAACCACAACTGAATTTTATTTACCTGTTTCTCACTCATACGTGCACAGTTTCGGTTAAAACCGAAATAACGTCTAAATGCACAGTTTGCATATGCGCAATTTCGGCGCACCGTGCTTAAGGCCTGTATGCAGCTCTCAAGAAAAGCAAAAACTCCATATAAAATGACGTACAAGAAATGGCTAAGAAATTTTCTTGAGTCAAATTTCCTTAAGGCAGTACGCAGTTCTTAAGAAATTTACTACGCTTTCTACTACGGTTTTCTATGCTTGAGGTTCTAATGAGCGCCCACTTTCCAGGGTGTACTGAGGAGCCTGGCGTTGCTCGCACAATTTCTGGACGCTCCTTAGAATACCTAGATTTTATTGATGTAGAAAGGGTAGATTGGGCCATAAGGTCCTTCCAGCCCTACAAATCTCCAGGCGTGGACGGCATCTTCCCAGCCGAACTTCGGGCAACGTCTGACATTCTATGTCTCAATCTATAAGGCTTGTCTCATACTTAGCTTCATACCCAAGGGATGGACACTGGCGAAGGTTGTGATCATTCCCTAGGGCGGCAGACAATCCCACGTGAAGCCAAGCGACTTTAGACCGATTAGCCTTACATCTTTCTTCCTGAAGGTTCTGGAAAGACTACTGGACGTGAAGATCCGACAAGAAATTGATTTTAGTAAATTGTCTAGCTGTCAGCATGCCTATTGGAAAGGCTGGTCTGTAGACACAGCTTTGTATAGTATTGTCAGCACCATTGAAAAGGCAATAGTGCTTAAGGAATATGCATTAGGCGTATTCCTTGACATCGAGGGTGCCTTCAATAATGTTCTCCCAGAAGCTGTTCTCCGCGCCCTAACTAACCTCGGTCTGGAGTACCCTCTGGTAGAATTTGTTCATCGCCTTCTAGGCTGCAGAACTATATACTCGGAGATGGGAGAGGTATCGGCAACAAGGTATGCAAACCGCGGCACCCCGCAAGGCGGTGTCCTCTCCCCACTCCTGTGGAATCTAACGGTGAATACTCTGCTGTCGCAGCTACAGAGCACAGGCTGTCAGGTAGTTGCCTACGCTGATGATCTGGCCCTGACGGCGGTAGGTAAGCACCCCCAAATTCTATGTGATCTGGTCCAAGGCGCCTTAGGCGTTGTGGAAACCTGGTCCAAGAAATCTGGCCTTAGTGTCAATCCAGGGAAAACAGTCATGGTTCTTTTCACAAAGAAAATTAAAACTGTCCAGGTGCAACTTCCTTTCTTGAACGGTGTTACCCTAGCCCTCTCGGAGGAAGTTAGGTACCTGGGCGTTGTATTGGACAGAAAGCTAACTTGGCGGCGCAATGTTGAAGAGCGTGGCAAGAAGGCTTTAACTGCCCTGTATGCCTGTAAATCAGCAATACGAAAAAAGTGGGGCTTAAAGCCGCACATCGTGAGCTGGATGTACACAGCAGTGGTGCCTCCCATTCTATTCTATGGTATCACGGTCTGGTGGCCATCCGTGGACAAACTTACAATCAAAAGCAGATTAACAAAGGTTCAAAGGGTGGCGTGCATGATGATCACGGGGGCGTTGCCCTCAACGCCGACTAAAGCCCTAGAGACTTTGCTCCATTTTCTACCTGTGGACCTATATGGCAAACTGCAGGCAAGCTGTAATGCTGTTAGATTAAACCCGCTGATCAAGTGGAGTGATACAAGATTTGGATACTCTAGAATTTTGGAAAATCTTCCAGGAAACTTCAGGCGCCTTGACTACACAGTCCCGCCTACTGGACTAAAGAATCACTTCCAAACAAGGATCCCCTCAAGGGGTGAGTTGGAGGAGGATTCAATCCTGATCTCTTACTCTGACTCAGCAGCCATCTACACCGATGGCTCCAAGCTAGATCTGAAGGTAGGAAGTGGGATATATTCGCAGGAACTCTCACTTAGCCTCAGTTTCCGTCTGCCAGATTACTGTAGCGTGTTTCAGGCTGAAGTAACAGCAATCTACGAAGCTGCTAGATGGCTGATCGATTCTCCTACTAATCTGCATGCAGTAACTATTTTTTCTGATAGCCAGGCAGCTATCCAAGCACTTAATTGTGACAAATCTTCATCGAAGATTGTCATGGAATGTAGACGTACTCTAAATGAGCTGGCAAGGAGTCACTTTACTCGAGTTGTATGGGTACCAGGTCATAGGGAAATACCGGGCAACTGTGTTGCGGACGAGCTGGCTCGGAAAGGAACCCTACTGCCTGCGATCAGTACCGCTCGTAATGCGAGTATTCCGCCATCCTGTAAACTTTGGCTGCAGAATAACTTTATCGAACGGGCAAATGTAAGATGGTCCGCGGAGCCCACGTGCAGGATAGCGAGACACATCTGGCCTAGATTAGATAAGCCTAGATCTCGCCCTCTCTTTCATTTGGAGCGACCAATGCTCCGCCATATTATCGGAATTCTCACCGGGCACTGACTTATGGGAACCCACGCTGCCAGGATGGGTTTGCAGCCAAACGACTACTGTGGTAGCTGCCGCAATGAGGAGGAGATCGAGAGCGTGGAGCATTACCTGTGCCACTGTCCCGATTTGGAAAGAGCCCGTCGACGCTCGCTCCTTCGCTATTCTTTCGAGTATCTGGCTGAACTGGCCCCGGCCAGTATCTACGATTTTGTGCGCTTCATCAGAGCTACGAATTGGTTCAATTTCTGAGGTAGGAAGAGGGACGTACGAGTCTCAAGTATCGTATCCCAATGGGCCCATGGAGGCCTAAGTGTGCCCTTTCCGGTACGGATGAGGGCAGCCAGGATAACCTAACCTAACCTAACCTACCGCTATTAGATAATATTTTGCTCGATCTCCGAGAAAGATTGCCGAAAGAGTCATCAAATATTTCTGATTTGAACTTATTACTTCCATCTAAAATTGGAGAATATAATACGCCTGATGAAAAAAAGCTATCGAACGCGTAAAATCGCTTGGAAAACGATACGAACTTTTCTTAGAAAAAGACGGTATCAATTTGGAATGAGAGTATAAAGTATGGTTGGAAGGATGGACAAATAAGGAAAGCGAAAAGCCATTCCCAAAATCAGCAGCAGAAGTTCTTTGTAAATGCGACGAACATGCTTTTCCATTGATTAACAAACTTCTCTGCATTCTGGTCACACTTCCAGCTTTTAACGCTTCTTCCGAAAGAAGTTTTTCAACCCTTCGCCGGTTAAAAACATGGTTGCGTCGTACAATGGATGAAGAAAGACTGATAAGTCCATGATTCACTAATACAAGGTTAGATAATTATTGACAGCCGCGGTTTGACACTCCCTTACAAAAGGTTGCATTTACGAAGGACAGAGAAAGGGGAAGAATTTATTTATTTATTGCGAAAATGGTAGTAGAAAAGTAGGCAGTTAGTAGTGAAATTCCTTTTGTAAATTATAATGTATTTGCAGGAAATCTGGCATTTTAAACGAAACATTGAACGAAATATTAATATATCTACGTGAATTACCTAATTTATGTGCATTTTAGCTGTATAAAAACTGCAAAAGGACTCAAAATCAAAATAAAACTACTATGAGATTTATGTAAACATCCAATTTAAAAACAATTTATTTTTCCATCAGTTAAATGTGCTTCATATGCATACACAATTAAACATATTGCACAAAAGCTTATACTTATATTTCACAGCAAAGCTACACTTTTTCCAAGTAAATTTGCAAATAAGCAACACGGTGCCACTGCTAAGAGAGCGGTGCGAGAGAGACAACTGTCAGTTTATCGAACCTTGTATTATAATACTCAATAATTATGGATTGATGGATAGGTCTAGCACTTTTACACGTACACTTAGATATTGAAATTGACACTGAAAGGATAATAGAAAAATTCGCAAAAGGAAAGAGCAAAATTTAATTTGCAATTTAAATTATTACAATCAAAGTTCTGAATAAGTTGTTAATTTACTTAGTTACATCCTTCATTTTACCAACATTGTAAGCAAGAAATAAGTATTAATATGTATATATTGCATTAATAAGCCCAAGGTATAACTTTATAACTTTTTTCTTCTTTAAATAGTACATGAAATTGTCTTATTAGACCTTGCACCGAATTCACAAAATGAAAAGTAATATTATATCACAAAAAACTTTACTTCACACTTCATAAAAAATACTCCAACCTATATTTGCTATCGCAAGCGAAAACTCTTAGCATGTTCAGAAAAAATATCATAAGCGTAATTTTACCTTTGGACAATAAGGTATGCAAAAAATAAATAGTCCCATTAGAAAACTAGCGTTTAATAATGTTGTTGTCCATTTAAATCCAAATAAATTTTTACACCGTTTAAATTAGTGATAAAAAAAGTCCCCTGTAAAATTTACCTTTTTGTCGCTTAGTTACGGTAAAATCGCAAATAGGTGTCGGTATGTAAGAGAATGTTAAATACAGATATGTACTTTATTTTGATATTTCAGGATTTTCATTGAGGCCTTTGAATTTACACGAGGATTCCATTATGTTGATTTCGTATCCGGGCGAACTGTTCATGCGCGTTTTGAAGCTAATGATTTTGCCATTGATCATATCAAGTTTGATCGCCGGATCAGCCAGTTTGAATGCACGAATGAATGGAAAAATTGCACTCCGTACTTTGGTATATTTTGTTACTACTTCGTTCCTGAATGCTCTGCTGGGTATTGCTTTGGTGTTGCTAATTCATCCCGGTGATCCAAACCTTCATAACACCGTCGATCGCTCTACAGATAAGAGGGCTGTTAATCTGCTGGACAGCCTTTTGGATTTGGGAAGGTAAGTAAAACATACATATTTACATTCAGAACTTCTTCACTCAGAAATTTTTCGATTCATAAATATGGGTGACTAAGCTTTAAACTAGTGGTAAACGGAGCCACTCGGCTTTCACGCAGTGTTGCCAGAAATATTTTGTTAAAAACCTTCCAAGAGATAATAAAATCTTCAGAGAACCATAAAAGGTTGATTTTTAAATATTCATTTGTATAAAGAATACCAATTAAGGTGGTGGTTTATTATAAATTTCTGTTTTGTTCAAGTTTATTAGAGAAAAATAACCCGGATCTATGCATTCATGCTCGGATGATGATGATGATGTTTCTATAAACCTAATTATAGAAGTTATTATTATTATTATTTATTAATTAAATTACAGTTAAAATTATAAGTTAATACATTTATAGCACTAGCTACCAGGCTATCGGCTAGTCATTATGTGAAAATATAATTATAATAAATGTGCAATATTTACATTTTTTAAGTAGTTAAAAATAGTTTTTACATTAGTTTCTGAAGAGCATGAGAGTATATCTAAAGGATCATTATCAGCGAAAAAATGGGCACGTACGGAGGTTAAAGCAGGGCAACTTGATATGATATGGCGAATGGTTAGGTCGGATTCGTTGCAAAATGTACAAGTCGGCTGGTGTGTGTTGTGTAAAAGGTGTTCGTGAGTAAGAAGGGAGTGACCTAATCTGACGCGTATAAAACATTTATTCATCCAAGTTGTTGTATTTGTTGGTAGAATGATACCACGGCCCTTAGGGTTTATTTGCTTGTATTGGTGTTGATAGTTAGACCATTTGTTCTCGAAATGTAATTTTAACGCTTTTGAGAAAATGTTTTTGAACGATGTTTTCCCAAACGGCATGTGCAGATAGAGGCATGATTTCAAAGCCAATTTAGCGGCTCGGGCGGCGTGTTCATTGCCTGAGATACCTGCGTGGCCGGGAATCCACATAAGTTTAACCTTGTAACTGTTGAACGCGGTATATTGGATCTTCTTGCGTGTGTATACGTTTGGCTGCATTGAAAACCGATGAGCGGTCAGTACATATAACAGTTTTGTTGCCCAGAGACTTAGCTATGGTTAACGCTGAAAGAATACCCTGCAGTTCTGCGTCGAATATATTCGCATAGTTGGGGAGGAGGCCACAGGAAATGGTGTCGCCATCGTTATTTACTACTGCAAACGAAACTCCGTCATCTTGCTTGGAGCCATCTGTATACAGGAACAACCATCCACTATCCTTCAGTGGGTTGGCGATAATGTGGAATAAATTCTGGTAGGCAGCATTATTGGTTGTGTCTTTTCGTAGACGTGTTAGATCGCTTATGAAGATATTCGTGTTAAGACACCAGGGTGGATGTTTTGTGGATGGAATTCTCATAAAGGATGCCCCAATATGCATAGAGTCTGCGAGTTCTTTGACTTCGCATAGCGTAGATTTGCGTGAAAACCTGGTTTTTCTGTGTTTCAGAAGCTGTACGTCGTGGTGTAAAATGTGAGACGCGTTGCAGTGCAGCTTGTAGGCTATTCGACCGTATAGGAGTTGCAATCGCTCCTCGATTGGTAAAAAGCCGCCTTCGGCCAGTAGATTTTTTGTTGGAGTTGATCTGAACGCTCTAAGGCTACACCTCACAGCTGCATTGAGAGGCGGTTTGATTTTGTTGAGGGAGTCCTTGCTACATTTTCCGTATATTTGTAATCCGTAATCGATTTTGCTTTGTATGGTTAGTTGAGTGATACTGAGTAAAGTGTTAGTGTGTACTAAACTTTTCTTAGAACTTAAATATTTTATAATGTTGAGCCTGGTAGCTAGTTCGCTTCTTAATGTAATACAATGTTGCTTAAAACAATGTTTATTATCAAACGTAACTCCTAGTATGTTTAAAGAATCCACGTTAGGAATAGTACATTTATTGTGACTTATGGTTATTTTGTTGCAGTTAAGTTTTCTACAAACATGCAGATGCTTGCATTTCTCAAGTGAAATGATAGCACCTGAATGTTGCGCCCAACTATCGATCGCAGTTAATGCATTATTGAACTCATTTTGAACGCCGGATGTGTTCTTATTGTTAGATATTAAGAACAAATCGTCGGCATATAAGCAATGTTTAATGTTATTTTGTTGACTAATCAGTCGGCTAACGTCTTAAAACGCTATTAGAAATAAAGTTACCGAAAGCGGTGACCCTTGCGGAAGTCCATTTTGTAAGGGAAATATAGGTGATATGATGCCATTTACTTTGCATCGAAATTTTCGGTTAAAGAGGAAAGATTTTATGAAATTAAAAATCTTAGGCCCAAGTTTCCAG